AAATCCTAATTGCTATAATCATTGAAGTTTAACTGTTAAAATCATAGATTTAAGAGGAAAAGTAATTATTGCTTGGGTTGACATTACACAAGCAGCTATCCCCGGTCATTTGCAGTCACAGGAGGTGATAGTCCGGGTGAGCAAGTCAAACAAAATCACTTCGTTGTTCTGCAATTCAGGAGACAAGAGGTGAGAGAGAAGGCAAGAAAAAAAAGGGTGTGTTCCTCCGGAGTTATTTTAACCCCTAGAGCAATGAAAAATACAGCACAAATGAACAGTAAAGCCTCTAGTCATTTRGATACCTCAAACTAAGGCTCAATGCAAATTCTAAGTATCCCAATATTTAAAATCTAAACATGAAGCACAGTTATGGTGTTATTCTAATGAATGGTACCAATTCAGTGTTACATTTACGTGAATAAATCCCTTCTTCAAACAGAGCAGCTAGCAGACAAGCCCAAGTATTTCTTAGTTCAGAGCTCCCAAACACCTGATTCAAATGAGTATTTGTAGCAGTCAGCTCTCCACTATTCTAGGAGAGTTATTAAGCAGAGCAAAAGAAGCAGTACAATTTTTGTGTCTTGTCATTTAAGTTTTTCCTGCTTTAATCAATTAATCATTTTTTTACCAAAGTAAAATGAAATAATAACTGCTTCACTGCTAACACTGGCACACAATAAGCAAGTGACACTCACAGAAAGCAGCCATGTAAATGTTAACATTGGTGATGCTATAAAGAGACATTACCAGGAGAAATCAAATTTAAGTAAGTTTCCAGGTGCAGACATCTTTTATTTTCACTTTAACTTGCTCTGAGTATCCTAAAGTGCCTTAAAGCTCATCAGGGTCCCTGGTTTCCCCGACATTCCCTGACCAGCATTTTCGTTCCTTCTTCCTATGAAGAGCAGGTCTTCAGGGCTGACATGAGGCTGGAAACAGCTGCACACCTTGCCCGGCTGCTACACACATGCTTTTGATGGCAGGTTAAGGAGATTTCTGACCTTGCACGATTCCCAACTGCTGYATCTCATAAAGAAAGGGAGACACTCAGCCCTACCGTGCTGCCAGTGGGGGGTGGGATTTCATTCATTTGTTTCTTTTTACACTCACCTACAAGCCTTGCTGTGCAGAGCCTATCCCCCTAAGGCTCAGTGRGATGTAAGAATGTGTTTATGTACCCTGTTTCATCAGTGAGGGAGTCTTTGCATGAAATTTTGCAGCACATCCACATGCTTTCCAGCCTGGAGTCAATGTGCAGAGGCAGGTGGGAGCCTGAACAGACCCAGCAGATTGCCTGCACCTACTCACACACATGCACCCATCAGCTTCAGCAGCAGAGAGCAAAGGGAATGCAGAGTTTTTYAAACTATTAATATGGAAAACATCTACCATGCTTTCTGCACAGGAAAAYAGAGCAGTGAACTACGAGTGAACTATGAGTCACTGACAGTCACTGATGGAAGCTCATCAATGATTATTGTAAATGCTGAAATTTACTGTTTGGTTAAAAACTTGAGACTAACCGCTTCTAAAGTTGTTTACATTTTTAATGGCATTTGAATGCATATGAACTTAGAAAAGAGAGCTACAGATAGTAGCTGACAGTGATCAAATTCACTTTTAARTGTAATTGTCAGAAAAACAACACTAAGAGAATTGCCTCTGCTTTTGCCAGCACCTTGTACTGAGCTTTGCAAATTAATAGTATCAATTTTTTTTAGAGGAATCATTCTATTTTTACAAAAACCCATAGCATGAGAAGGGGAAAACAAAAATAGCAAGCATACTGCTACTGCTAAGTGACTCCCAATGATTAGTTCTAAATATATGTGTACAATTTCCTTTGCAACCCGTTTGCTGAGAAAAGCAAGAAAAAATAACTCAGTGTACAGAGTTTTTTACACGCAGTTTCTAAAGACAAAGCAAGWCAGGACCAATAGGGGCTGTCATCTTTTTCCACCAAATCAACATAGCTGGAAAATAACAAGCTCTAAACAGCAGATTTCTCAGGTTGCTTTTAGTTCAATGACTGCTGCATTTGTTACTCACAGGAGACAGAAAAAGGTGCCAGGATCCTCCTGCACTTTGAACTCGGGGAGCATCCTGCATAATTAAGGTTTTATGAGCTGCTAAGTCTACTTAGACAGGCAAGAGAAGTCTGCATTTATCACTGGTACCTCAGCAGAGGTCTAAACCAAGCACATTTTTGTACTGTGCAAGTTCAAGAAAAGGATGAGCTATCCAGTCCACCTTTTACACAGCACAGGCAGGCTCCAGCTCCCTATAAAGTCAGTAAAGCACCAGTTACATCTCTAGCAGCRGATTAAAAGGCTGCCAGAGAGGTTATGGGGTTTGCTAAGTGATGCGTGAGAGTGAGACAGAAAGAGAAGCCAAATTTCCCATCCCCACCAATGTGCTGGGCTATCAGGACAAATTAAATGGATGTGACACATTACATGACAAATGTATGTTCTGGTCCACATTCGGGAGTTTCAGTACATCGTTTCAAGGTGCCCTAATTACTAGTAATCTCAGGTGTTTTAACAACAAATGACACTGACATTCCCRGGAAAGAGCAAAGGCATAATTTTGGCACCAAGCCCGGCTGAGCTGCTTTGAAATGCCAACACTTGGCTATGTCTCAGCTACAGTTTCCAGGTACACAAGTCCCTGTCCTACCAAGCACATCTGGCTCCTGCCGCAATGGCTGGGCCCACAAGTTGAAATTAAAGGTTTTAAATACAGAAGCTCCCAAAGGGTGTCCTGGGGACACTGACATCTTGTACATTTTGGCCGAGGATTAGAAGAACACTACTTGAACTGAGAAAGCAGGTTTCAGTGAACTGTTGCTCGAGGGCTGATATTATTTAACACATCTGGATTAATATGTATGCAAAGCAAAATACAAAGGCACTAGAACAAAGAACTGGAGAGAGATATTACGGGAGGGCATTGCAAAGCCACGGATGGCAAGATATATTTAGCAGACATAAAAGAAATATCTTGTCTTTCTTGTGGACTCCAGATATTCTGACAGTATTTGCTAAGGACAGGCATCTAAGTGGCACCGAGAGAACATATGGAAAAAACTAGAGCTTTCCATTTTTAGAAAACTAATGAGCTTTTCCTCTTTGTTCCCAACTGCTCTTTGCCCTGCTGATATGTCATAATTCTYTATTTATAATGCCATAGCATTTTGTCATGGAGAATGCAGTAAAAATTACAAATAMGCCTGCCTTGCAACACATTGACATATCACAACATGGGTTAGGAAGGAGCAAGGTTTAGTTTGAATAAGAACCAGCTTAAGCTATTAGCAAACATAAGATAAGCTCTGGTTGTAGGTATGGGCTGTCCCCCTGCTCTAAAAGCATCATCTGATCGTGCTCTGTTCACCCTCTTGTACCTCCAGCACCCTGTCCTGAGCTGATTCACAAGTCCCCTGATTTGCTATTTCCTCCAACTTGGATTTTATTTCTCAAGACCAATCTGTGTTACATGGATTTCTCAACTCTAACTGGAGGAAGACCAGGAGATCAGAACACTCGGACTCACACTGGTACAGTAAACACACCCCTTCCCCCAATCCAGCCCAAAAATGGTCYCATTCCCATCTTGGATATGCATCGTAATAACAGCAACACAACCACAGAGAGCTAGTACGCATTTTTAGATATGTGCTTTAAAAAGAAGCTTTCTCTTCCCCAAATAGAAATGTTCTCCCTCATTGTTAGTTTTGTACAAAATAAACGAAATGTAAAAATGTCAAGAATCTCTGCACATCTCTTACTCTACTAAGTCTGGTTATTCTTCCAACTGCAGTTATATGAATATAATATATATGCTGCTAATTCTATTASAAATCCACCAAGGAAATCAATGCAGAGTTAATACTACAAAGAGACACCAAACACACCTATCAGACCTGCAAATTAACACATTCCTAGARGTGATATGATACTTCTGACACCTCATGGCAAATAGTCTCTGAATTAATTAAGGGCCTTAGTTATAACAAAAGAATAAATCCTCCAGATCTGAATAACCATTCTTCTGAAATCGCTAATGCAGTTGATGAAAACACAGTAACAAAAACCTTTCAAGTTACACTGCTCTGCAACCTGACGCATAACCACTTCCAAGGAAAAATAATCTAAAAATACAATGAAACAGGCATTAGGAGGTAGGAAGTACTTCCTCTCCACSGAGGCTTTTGTAAGCAGACACACAAAGTTCCTTTTCAAGGTTCCTTTTCTTGAAGTGGGAACTGAYTGCTTTCATGCTGAGCACACCCAGATAAACACCTTTGCATTTTTACGCTTTTTTGTGGCATCTGCACTTACTCAAGTTACAAACAAATCTTTAATCTTCCTGTTTCAAACAGAGGCTTTTTGCAAATTCATTGTTAATTTTTTCCAAAAGGTTCACAGTATCAGGAAGATAACTCCAGACATTAAACGGCGTTCTGATTTTTRGTGACCCTTCCTGAGTAAGGTCAGGCTAAGTGGCCCTGCTGCATTCTTTTGTCTAAAGCCCTTTCTGCAAGAAAAAAATCCCCCATGAAGAAACCCAAAGCCCAGCAGCCACCCCAGCTCCACAACACAAGCTTGATGGGGGGACTGTGCCCCACAATCGGAAAAACCTGGGTGACCCCAAGAACTTCAAAGCAGATGAAGCAAAGTTGTCAGGCTCTGACAAGTTTATTTACTTGTAAGTGCTAGCGGTCAGAAGGGATCCAGAAGCAAATGCCGGCTAACATTTGCCCTTCCCAGAGYCAGGCAAGGCTGTCACACCATCGCCAGAATGCGCAAGGTCACCGTATGGCTCCTGCTATCCCTCCTTCGGGGCTTTTTCTGTCATGCTTCARGGCAGCTTCTCAATGCACATGTTTTGTAGTGACTTTCCAGAGCTGTGTTTGCATTTTGTCTCTTAAACCGCCGAAGCAAGCGGGCAGCAAAGAAGGGCTCGSTGCCCTGGCAATACCATCCATTCRCACTCACCTCAGGTTTTCTTCCTGTGACCCCGGCAGGACACTGTCAGGACGATCCCGTCTCCTCCTGTACAGACCTGAATGTGACAACTCTTTCAGCTGCAAGGCCGTCATATTCCCCTACCTGGAGGAGGGCTGGKTTTTTTTAAAGGTGAGGGGGGTGTTTTGGCTTTGGGTTGGGTTTCTTTCCCCCGCCTCTCTCTCCCAGCTGTGGGTGCCGAGGAGCGCGCCTGCCAAGATGCCTGGAGAGCAGCGGCWGGGCGGTGTGTCGGCACACCTGCGCCCGCCGGAGCCACCAACCTCCGCAGGCAGGCAGGGCAGGCACCCGCCGAGCTGCTTCCTGTTTCTCATAGGTACACACCCTCCCAAAGGGCACCACATTTCCTCTAGCACCGGATCACACCTAAGGGATRTGTGTGACAAGCTCACCCTCTTCCCTCCAGGTTTCCTTAAACTCTCACCGCCCCGACAGGCACGACCCTGCCCTGTGCTGGGCAAAGCAGGCGGCTCCCCCAGCACCTCTGCAAGAACCTACACATCCCCAGGACCGCAATGAGCTGTTTACTCTTTCCTGTCATAATTTATGACAAAAGGAAGGTCATTAGAGCTATGAAAATTCAGAGTTACTCAAGCACATTGGCAAGCTCTGACAGGGAAGTTAATGCAGCGAAGTGTGCCGCAAAGTAACTTCGGTAACTAGCATAAAAGTACTCTAGGAAATGCAACAGCACTGTGTATTTTTTTTCTTACCTTGAAAATAAGAAGAAAACCACAATGTAATTTTCTGCCTACTCTCAGCTATCAAAACATAACCATTGTACCAGTTTGTCACATTTTGTAGTAATTGAGTGTCCCGTGTAATTGTAAAACGGGAATGGAAGTGCCTGAAGTTTCCTGCAAGGCAGGAAGGTGGTTAGCAGAGAATTTTGCAAGCTCTGTGATTCAGTTCAGCAAATCTTTAATAGTAAATAAAACACTTAATTTCGGGAGGCTTCAAAAAAGCTTACCACTTCTTGAAAAATGTTTGCCATTCCTTTGACATTATTCTTGACACATATAAATAAAAACTTAATTCAGAGATTTTACTCCGAYGTGGTGAGTGGGGAAGGAGTGTTTTTTTAAATGAACTTGCATTTAATAATAGCCAAGAAACCTAACAATTTGCAAGAACTGTTTTGATTATAATAGGAAACAAGTTCTAAGTGGTATGAATTACAGAGTTCATTATTAAAGTGTTTATTTTGTAGCAGAATACACATAAGAATATTTTTAATTTCTCTAAAGGAAAAAAGTGCAACATAGATAATACTATGTCATGTGACATCAATTTTGTTGAGATTATCAGACTGAACACAAACATGGTAATTTTGTGTAATACTATCAACATGCTTCAATCTGGAATGTCATTGATGCATAATATTAAGCATCACACAGTGGAAAAATAACAGAAATTGTTTTGGATAAGGAATCACATAACATGCCAAATAGATAATGGCTGCAAAAATTCAAAGTGGTTTATATGATGTTAGAAAGCTGCACACGCTGAACTGTCAACATGAGGTACATACATCTGAGCTGCCCTCAGAAAATAAAAGCAAGAATCACAATATTTGTCTGAACATGCTGCATTCCAGTTTCAAATGAAATATTTTAAATTGTTTCTCAGTACACAGTAGGATAAGCTTAAACACAATTAAATGCCAGTTCCCTGCGGACAGTCAATCAGCGATCCAATGAAAAGTTAATGCTGTTACGAGCAGAGGTTAAGGATGGCAGATGACAGATGTTCATGGCATAGCAGCTTTTTTACATTACCAACAGCTTATACTCTGCTTTAAATATCTGTGTATCTATGATTTATCTTTGTCTAAATGATCAATTTTAGATACTGATCTAAGAAGTGATGAATTTTTTTCTGTGAAAAGCTCTTTGTGAACTATTGAAATTGAACTATTACCAACAATTTGTTCATAGATTCCTATTCACTGCAGTAGCCATCTGTCCAGAATATACTGAATACTTCTGTATTTAACATRACACAAGCCAATAAAAAATGAAAGGACAACTCTTCACTCACTTTGCTACACGTTGCATTAGTGTGAAACACATCTCTTCATTAAATTTTTATTCATCTGCATAAGCAGCTGCTGTGCTTTGGCAACAACTTTTACTCAAATGTCTTTATAAACCAGAGCTGCACCAAASCAGTATTATGAAAATTTAAAATTAACACAACCTGATAGAGCATGYAAATTGAAGGAATACAAGTCCAGACACAAAAATGAGTTGTTAYACAGATCAAATCCACTTAAATATAAAGGAGGCCAAGATAGGTTTTTAAAGTAAGACCTGGGACTCAGCTCCATAGCTCCATTTCACAGGSCTCTTCAGCAAACACCAACAGGGGTCTACTGATATGGAAAACACTTTCATGGAGGACTTCAGAACAAGCTAAAAGCTTTCTACAAGAAGAAATGCAAACTGGACTCCTTTTCTGCCCTGWGGGATTGCCCATGAAGCCTCACAAGAAACGAGGTTTCAAATCTGAATTTACCCATACAGTCAAACCTTAAGTTCTGAGTATCAAATACAAGACGTAAGGGCGTTTTTTGCAGAGATATTGCAGAACACAAATGTTATTTCTCCACTAACTCACTTAAATGCTTCCACCAAGCAACTCGGATAGACCTGACTGCAAAAAGAGCTTCCCCAGCGAGTGCCTCCTGCTCCCCACACCCCTTTTTACCTTCTAGCCCCTATCTGCTGTTTATAATTCCTTTTTTGAGAGATTACATTCTTCTCGTGTGGGATGGGACCACTTGGACCATTCACATTCCATCAGAATTTTTGAGAATCAGCCAAGTTACCACAGTTTTCTGCATTACCAGTAATGTACAGCCTTCTTGTATCTCCTGTACTCTGAAGGTTTACTCTTCATTTTCCAGTGTGTGACTCTTACCTCATGCAACTGACCTTCCTCCTGCCCCCAGAGAAAGCCAATGTTGCTACTGCATTGTAATGGATAATCATTGTGGTTATCTGTCTTTCAGCAGAGAAAATAKTYCCCCATGTCTAACCAGCAAAAGGTRGAAACAAGATAGAAAGTATGCAGTCCTTCATTCAYCACAAGCAGTAAATAACTTTTTATTATGTGTGACAAAGCTCACGGTTGAGTTTTCMCTGCAGTCCGACAGAGCATTTATCTTGATATTTGAAGACCGCAATGCTCTCTCTCAAATTTCTATAAAAGTGCTGCTGTTCTGGTGACTCTAGGTATTCAGGAGAATTCTCCAGTTTAAAAATACTTTAAGGAAGACAGGTTATGTCTGGCTACTTTATGCTACATCCAAAGGGATGTGAACAGTAATTCATGAWGCTGGAAAACATGTAATTGAATTTAGGAATAACAATAAATGCCAAGTGCTTCAAATTCGGACATTTGTCCATGAGYCTGTATTTACAGAGAATAGACACTAACTATAGAAACCACAAAAGATGAAGTTTTAGATCTGTCATTCCCCACAGAGCAGTCTTTACTGAAGTGTTTTACCTTTTATTCACTCCAGTGGCATGTTTCTTCTCTGGGGGATTTTTCCAAACTTTGAAAAAATCACCAAATTTCAATTAAATTTAATTGAAGATTTTTAAATTGATAGAAAAAACTGGTTTTATGACAGCAGAGACAGTATAACAATAGTCAGAGAAGTGTTCTAAGAACTCTATACGAATGCTCATAGTGTGCACACAGTTACAAGATGGTTGCTTGTTAAAAAGGAAGCACATTCCTCCATGCCTGCATTGCTGACCCAGCTTATCACTGGAATCAGTTWCCAGAGGAAACTAAAGAGTGTACTAAAGTGATGGTTTTCTTTCTSAAAAGATTTCAAAGAAAAGCACACTTTAAAGTGGAGGAAAAGGCTTATACATCAGCAAAGGTCTCACTGGAGAAAGTGRAGGAAGGTGGCAATTAACCTTCCAGCAGTTTTGTTAGAATCTCTGAAGCATGCAACTGATGTGCCACTGCTATCATGCCTCTCTGGAGCTGCAGAACGAATCCCCTCAGATGAGTTTGGGTGTCAAGAAATAGTGCACCCACACTGTGGGTCCCTGCTAGGGCAGGCAGGRATAATACACAAAGAGAATGCCAAGCCACAAATGCTAAAGACACATACCTTGAAACTGAAATTTCAAAGCTTCGTGGAAGCCTAAATTAATTCAAAGAGTTAAATAATTAATTACATGTTTCCTTCCATGTCTAATGTCACTCCCAACATCCGTTTTGATGTTTCCTGCCTTGTTCCACTTGGTGATCAATCAATCCTGAAGCATGCAAATTTAATCTGAGGATTAGGCTAAGTACKGAGGCACTTGATCTATCTATGGCCACACTACAAAGCAGAGCTTTGRATTTATGTCTGTGCTCCAGCTGACCAAGTGGGTTTATTGTAATTTAACAGTAGTTATTAGTTATTGTTAAACTTTATCTACTAATGCCTCTTCCTGCCATACAATATAAAGTAAAAACTTACTGATGATGGTTGCAACCTRGTCTAGTGCAAGGTGTCCTGGCCCATGGTGGGGGTGGGAACTAGGTGATCTTTAARGTCCCTCCAACCCAAACCATTCTGTGATTCCATGGTGTGCTCAACACTCAGAGCAGTGAGGCACTTARCCCAATGAAGTCCTCTGGGATTTGAGTGGGCAAAGGGAAGGCAGAGTTATTGTGGTGAGCACCAGGCTCCTTTCTCATCCTGGCAGTACCACCTCCATAGCTGGTGCGCCACAAGGTTTCAGTGAGGCAAGGCAAGATCCCTGCTCTCATTCCAAATATACTATTCCAATAATAACAAAAAATATAAAAGCAAAAATGGGAAAATCTTCTTTCTGAAYGTGGAAGCAAGGTATTTTGCTTTCCTTCTCCAAGCTCTCTGCATGTGTTGCTCCATGAATTCCTAAATTCAGCAGGAAAAAAAATCAAACCTGCAAAAGGCACACTTTTGTCCAGCAAGCAGAAACCTACTTTGGCTGAGCTTTACAATACCTCCCTCTACTGGGAAAATACTGCCTTGTTTTTTGTGCCAGTATTTCTCTSTACAGCCAGAGGCAGGTACGGATTAGCCCACACATACTTCAGTAATTCAGAYCGGGGCCAAGCTGAGAGCAGAGACGAATGATAGACCTGTGGGTGAAGACGTAGGTTAGCATTATAGCCAGAAATGCTGTTAATTAGGAGATGATCCATGCATGAGTAGGTGTGCAAAGAAGAAAGCATGTGACACAGCATGAATCAGTTTTGT